TCTACAGATTGTGAAGCTCCCAGACCATTTACGGATGTGATTGAGGGCTCATTTAAAAACGAAAAGAGTGAATAAATCTTAAAATTGAGTCTTCAACCCTCTTGCCAAGACGTTTAATTAAAAAACAGTGTTCTGTAATTGTTTTGTTTAATTTCTTTTCAAATGTACGCTTGGATGTTTCTTTTTTAAATTTAGTTCCGTTATACCAAAATAAATAATGGTGCAGATAAATGTATTGTATAAGGCACGTCATCGCATATCGCGCCTCAATCATAAGATGAAAACATGCATACTTAACGCAAGATACGATCCCACAAACAGCCCAAAGCAATAGCCGCTGTAGCGGACTGAGTTTCGTTTAATTATCCGTCAAAATCCATCCAAAACTATCATATTTACGGCAACGCTGCTACAAAATCAGTTTTCCAATGATTGATTTCAAAGACCTCTCATCTCTTGATGATACTTAGTATTCACTCCCGAATGCAATCGCACCTCCCATTGTTCGCATCTCGAAGCTGAGGGGCGCTGCGCACGATCACGGACGGCGAGTCGCCACGCCCTTTCCGCCCGATGCGGTGGAGTTTGGACGTTGCGGTATCGTTTCCTCAAATAGAGAGCGTTGCCAGAGATAAGCATCGAGATAAGGCACGGGTACGGCATCGTACTCGAGACGTAGTATAAGTTGAAGTTCGACTGAGTCCGACGACTCTTTTGGAGTCAGACGCTCGTCATGCTCTGTATCAGTTAAACGGTTCGGAGAACAAAAAGGGGAGAGAACGTACTTTTTTTGTTATCGCGAACGCACACACGGAGAAACAGAGCTAGACACCTGATTCGTCGATAACAACTTCCTCCTGGCAACTGCTTAAATGCTGCCGCCTCCGCCTCCGTGCGCGCCCGCGCCGGCGTTTTATCGGGGTTAGGGATGAGAAGCTCGAGAGTAACACACTCGTTTGTTTTATTGCTGTGCGTGATTCTTGGTAATTGCTAGGTTAACGTACACACATTTGATTACTTTCTCCTTGCCCTGTTGGAGGAGACGCCCGGAATCGTTTTCGTTTGACACGCAAGGTAAATTTGAAAATGGTCCTACCTTGATCCACTCAAAGCGTGTATGTCCTATCATTTGTTACTTGTGTAATCTTACGCGTTTTTTACATGACTAGTGTTGGCCGTTTCCGTTCGCTTACGTTTTCCCTTTTCCATAATTTGCACGGTTTGTAAATGGCTTCAGTGCACTTCCTGGCACGAAAGATCGGCACAATTTTTCAGGAGTGTTTTTCCGTTTATGTTTTGTTGTGTTTTTGGTAATGTAACGTATTGTTAGGTTTTACATTCGTAATACAATAAAAGCTGAAGTAGTACACAAAATGGGTTACAATATCAGCGTGAGTTCAGAGACGTTTGTACCCTTAGATTGTGTTACTGTTGTTGAATGACACTCTTTCGCTTGTATGTATTAGTTTAGCTAACATATATTACAGTCTACGGCAGTGACAATCACTGTCAACCTCTCCTTACTCATAATGTGTCCATTTCCTCTTTTGGAATCTAAACCATTTAATGGCAGAGCCTCCCACAGGTCGTCTGAATGATGCTGAAATGCTCTTCTCCCCAGATAGTCCTGCTGTTGCACGAGGAAACTCATGCCTGAAGCACTAGTAACCTATTCTTTTCAAGATTCAATGTTGCGTTTTCCTGCCGATGAACGTACTTCATCGTACATGAAGACTTCGCGCATGCGCCCTGTGTTCCTCCTAAGCACTCAAATTAAGACCTAATGATGTTAACAAGGTAGTAAATTGCTCTCGCATTGTGCATTAAGTCATATGTTTTCGAATGGCAGGCCGGGTTTGAGCTAAACACGAAAGAGTGTGACAGTATGTGAGAAAGGAAGGCGCTTAACCGCAAACCAGCCTTATCTGGCTCGTGTTGAAATGAATTTTTGTACTGCTTGAAGTGACCCTTTTATGCGAGGAATAAATTATACATACCAATTACATATCATTAAATTTTCATTTAAAACCTGTAAATAGTAATTTATATCCATTCGTATCTCCTGAGTGATCTTATATTGTTAAACTGTGCGCTATATTATTGAGTATTACTTTTTCTTCTCTCTGTGTCACTTAAACGCTGTGGAGTTTGGCCAGATATCCACAACACTTGCAAATTTTGCCGGTCTCTGCTAGATCGTAGTGGTGGTTTGTGCAGTTTTTAGGTGGTTGGAGTTATGTCCTTACTAAGTTGCCGATTTGAAATAGAACGCCTGTCTAGCGAGTTGGGCCAATGTAAAAATAAAACACAATATTGGGTAGTTTATTTTTATAATAAAATCAGAGATTTCAGAAAACGAGTTAACGTACTGCGAGTTGTGTGAAAATAAAACACTTAAGAAATACACAAATTCGACTGACAGTTCGGTTTTAGACACTGGCTGTTGCAAAAGAGCGGGGAGTTTCAAACAAATCGCCTGAAAAACACTACTTTTCGGAGAATTCAAAATCCCTACCTTTTCATTTAACATCAGCTGTGAATGAATTTCAAAATCTTTTGAGAATCAATAGGAGGAATTAAGGGATTTACTATAAGAGCGTTGGATATGCGAACCTGCAATAAAGCTACAAATCGCGCCTGCTTGGTCAAAGAAATGGAAGATCAGCCCCTCATCCAAGACAGGATATACACGCTTCCGTTTGACAAAGGATCTCGAGTTCTAGCATACCTGCGCATGCACTCAGCTGCTCTGCCGCCCCCAGAAGCCGCTCTGCACATGGCGCATTCGCTTCAGAGAGCGTTTGTCAAAAGGAAGCGTTGAAGGTCAGGAATGGGAACACGGGGTGCGTTGGGTAATGCTGTTCCAGCATCCACCTGAATTGTTCGGAGGGCTCTACGAAAACCGTTCGGAGCTGTCGGGTTCTACAGTTCTCATGCAGGCTGTAGGCTCGTCTCTTGTTATTTAAAGCTGTCACCGCCGGGACTCGAACAGAGGACCTCCCGGACGTCGAAGCCGCCGTTGCGCACTCTCGGTTCACGCCCTCGTAGCGCATAAACAAGCCTTTTGCCTCTCAAATACGTGCACTTCCGGCGCCTAGTGCAACGGCCTGGTTTACCCAGTGGGTCGTCCCGGTGCTCGGAGCTTCGCTAACCGGAAACTAGCACTGCGTGTGAGGTGAGGTGGGCGGGACGGGACGGATGCTCACCTGGCGGGGGTGGGGGGAGCGGCACCCCGGCCCCCTTCTCCGCCTCTGCCAGCATCAGCAGCTCTCCTAGGCGTGCGATGGACCAACGCAGCTTCGGTCGGCCGGGCCTAAAATATCGCTCGCGCATATTTCCAGAGCCCAGTTGTGTCGGCGACACCGCGTCCTCCTCTTCGCCCCACTTCGCGTTGCTACTGCTGCTGCTGCTGCTTCTTTTAGCGGTCGATCTTCGCGGCGGCCCTGTACTGGAAGCGTTTTTGTGACACCTGCCCGTCAGCAGCGGGCGTGGTTGACAGCGGGTAAACGGCTGCCTTTTGCTTTGCGCGTTCGGATGTTTGGGCTGTTTGGTCACCCTGACTGGCGTAGGTGCGTTCTCGTCGAATGAGATCATATTTAGATCCGAAGATCCCACTCAGGGTGTGATGACGCACCCATGAGAACATAGTTTCTCGAAGTCTCCGGAAATATATACAGGTGCTTCCTATTCGAATTTCCTTTATGCTTTGGAAATGGTGTTATTGTTTTTCCATCTGACAGCTAAGTTTGCGTAGTTCGAATATTGATGCACTTTCAACTGAGGTTGTGAAGGAAGTTCTTATATTTCGGTAGTTTGACCGTTAATTAATCGCTTTCAAATTATAATGACTCAAAGCATATGTTATTCAAAAACAATTTTATTGTTCAATTTTTGCTGAGATAATAAAAAGTACTTGAATATTACGGAGACAGTGTCTTATTCGCATATATTCTCGGAGCACAGTCAGACAGCAGTTATGTAATAATAATGTCTGTCGCGCTTAATGTCTTGCGCAACGGTGGGAACAGAAAAATCTAATAATGCTCTGAGAAATACGCCATACATAAATTGGCTTACTGACGTAATCGGTTTGAAAAACGAACATGCTTGTGTGAACGCTAAAAATTGACGTAAGACTATGAATGTCATTCGAAAATTCTTACTTCAAAAATACTTGCCATTCGAAACAACTTCTTCCATCGAAATTGTATAGTGTATTTAGATGCAACGTGGAGATGACAAGCTATCCGGAACAGGTGTGCAGTGGAAGGCGCGAGAGATACCTCCCCTCCTCCTCATCCACCACCCCACCCCCTTTCTTTTGAACATGTTTGGAACAGCTGCTCGTAACGTCACCTTAAACAGGCATTCAAAACCGCTTCCCTTCGTGTTTTGACGCAGGCGATTGCAAGGTGCCTACAAAAGAGAAGCAAACCGAAGGGTCAGCAGAGCGTGGAGCGCGTCCGTGTCGTCATTTGTCACGTCGCGCTTCTCTCAGTCGAAAGTGCGCGAGTAGGCAGGCCTGCGGGCGGGCGGCAGGAGCGCATTGCAGCTGGTGACTCACATTTAGGTCAGCGAACCGGTCGCTCCGTATATAGACAGAAATTACCGGCTGGCGGCGCCGGCGCGAGTACCGTACGGGAGGTCGCAGTCAGCGGACATCTCCCGGAGGCGCAAGGCTGCAAGGTGTTGCGTTTGGCGACACGGCAAGGCGCGCTGCACCCCAGGTGAATGCCTTCGTCTGCCCCTGCCCCCCCACCACCACCACCACCCACGCTCTTTTGACCCATCGCTTCGTGGTTTCATCAGTGGTCAATGAACAGTTTCGCAAGTGAACTCGACAATCTGTTGTTGTTTTTTCTATCGCATCATTCTATTGTTGAGAGTCTGATAGCGTTGTGAGAGATTTCGTGGATTTTATTGTGTGCTTCGCTTACGTTGTTTTTACTTTAGAGGTAACAGTGGTGACCAGTTTTTTACCAGATTCGTTTTGTTGACAGGTTTTGAATATGAACAACGTACCCCTACTGTGGAGTTCGAGACGCTATTGAATCGCTTGGAGAAAGTCACCACACGGTTGGAACGAACGGTTTCTGCCACCGAGGAAGCTTTGCAGAAGCAGGCTGGCCTTCAGAATTCTAATGAACAAATTGTTCCCTTAGAGTCGGCATTGAAGGAAAGTAGTCCTAAAGTAGTTTCTGTAGAAACAAAATCTGCTGAGGCAGAGAAGTTTATTGAAGAGAAACCTATCGTTTTGCAAGATCCTCCTAAATCCAGTCAGGAGAAACAGGGCATATCATCAACCGATTCTGTTTCCAACATGAGTGTTCCTGCGTTTCAAGAAATCTTGAATGGGCCATTGGCATCATTCTTGTCAACGTCCGCCCAGATTGGAGATGATGTTGCTGCAGTTGCACAACTTGTTAAACAAGCATTTCAGTGAGTTTTTGTAATTTTTGGTTTTGTGATGTTGAATCCTTGTTTTATTGAATTGTTGTTTACATAAGTAAATGTTTCAGGGCTCAGTTGCAGTACCTGTCATTGGCTGCTTCATCTGGTCCCCCATCAATGGATCAAAATATGAAACTGCTTGAACCAACTTCCACGCAGATCAGAGCAATTCAAGACTTTCGTGAGAAGCATAGAGGTTCTCAACAATTCAATCATCTTAGTGCAGTTAGTGAAAGTATTGCTGCCCTTGGCTGGGTCACTGTTGTAAGTTTTCAGTTTCTTAAATAATTTGTGTGAATGAATTACAGTGTATAGAGTAGACCAAATATCAGGCAGCCTTGAGTTATACAATTTGGCAAGAGATAAACTGCATTTTCTGTTCAGATTTGAGCTAACAATTTTGGTTTTAGTGTTGTGAGGAAGTGAAAATAGACTAATGTATTATGATCGTTGGGTTTCAGAGCCCTGCTCCAGCACCATTTGTGAAGGAAATGAATGATGCTGGACAATTTTATACCAATAGAGTTCTCAAGGAATGGAAAGAAAAGTAAGTGTAAAAGTGGTATTTGAAGGAGATTCAGTAAATGCTTTTCAAGATTTCAGTTTTTGTTGGCTTAGTTTTAAACACTTTCCTTAACTGTGAAATCTAAAAATGTATATTTCATTGTATAACTTTCTCAAAGAAATGTTTACAGTAATAAGTATTGCTTTGACCAGATAAATAGTCAGAGGTTAACTAGTGCAATTACAAGATACGTGACAATACAAGATTGAGTTGGGATATTATTCAGCTTTGTTTTCAGAGCTAACTGATATGTGAAATCCCTTCATTGTGGACTGAAATTATATTTGTTAATGAAAACTACAACATTGTTACAGAGACAAAAAGCACAAGGTTTGGGTGGACGCTTGGGTGGAAACCCTCTCTGAGCTCCAGAAGTTTGTGAAGCAATACCACACCACAGGGCTGGTGTGGGGAGGCAAGGGCAGTCCCCCCAGCGCTCCAGCTGGCGTGCCGCCCCCTCCCCCTCCTGGTCTTCCGCCTCCTCCGCCCGAGATGCCCCTTGGAGATCTTCCTCCTGGATCCGATGCTCAAGATAGGTCAGCATTATTTGCAGAAATCAACAGAGGCGAAGCAATAACATCCAGTGAGTACTGTCAGTAAAAATTGATTTATATTGCATGTTTGCTTACGAATAAGTTAACCTCCCATTAATCTCCATTATTAGATTAAATAGAAACTTTATTATTGAATGCTATTAAATAGTTAATGTTCCAATAGCTCAAATAGTTTTGAAGAATATTTAAAGTATTTACTGATGATACGAAGTATAAACTGAATATATTGCACCCTCAAAAAGTGAGGATACTGACCATAGTGATGTTCATTTTGCGACAGTCAGTTTTTGCTACATCTTTGAGAAATGCTGTACTAAGATTTATTTAGATGCAGACTTTTGCTTAGGGAAAGTGACTCGCAGGACATAAATTAGTCATTTATTTGTTGTTTCCATTACTGAATATAAAAACTAGTCTCCTTGCTCGTATAAAGCTACCAATTTCACAATTTTTTCCTGTGTTTTGAGTAGACGATCTGGCAAAGATCAAAATATGGTAATAATTTCAGCTCCTGGGCCATAGGCCATGTTTCAGTGAACCTATAATTATGTAATGTGAAAATGCATGAAAAATTCCTTTTAAGAACCAAATTTTATAACTTTACTTGTCTTTCTTTTTATTATAACACTAACAGAATGAAATTGAAATGAATAAGCATCTTCTTATTATAACACTAACAGAATGAAATTGAAATGAATAAGCTGGTTTCATTAATTGTTACTCATAATACCCATGTGAAGTTACCTTATTCTTCTGATTATGCAAAGTGGAGAAATGTATTATATGTAATACAAACAATATGTATATCAATAGACTATATGTAATACAAACAATGCAAGCTTTGACATGGTATTGTTGATTGGAATATACAAAATAAATAATAAAATGACCTAAGGTTCTTCAGTAACATTGAGTAAATATGTAACCCATTGTACAAATATTCACAGTACAAATGAGAATGTGTTGTCTTTTCAGGAAGGCTCTACAATAACAGTCATGAACTAATTATAAAATTATTTCACTTCTTTTTGAGATATTTTTGCACAAGTGTGTTTGTGCATTTTCCCCTTTCCCCACCATTTTTTGTTGCTAATTTTTTTGGAGAAAGAAAAGGTGAGCCCCTAGAAAATTCGGGAAGACTTGCAAAGGCTATAAAAATTGGATATTGATGGGTTGGGAAATAATAATATTTGAACTGTTCAACTGATAATATTTTTCAATTTTATCTACTGACTCATCATTTTGCTCATCGTTTTTAATTAATATTTCCATGTTTTTCCAATGTACTTAACCTTTGGTCATATGTCCTTTGCTTGTAATGATTTTCATTTTAGGTTTCAAACATTTTGTTTAAAATCTTGTTTTTTGTGTGTTTCAGCTCTCAAAAAAGTTACACCTGATATGCAGACGCACAAGAATCCTACTTTGCGATCTGGTCCAGCACCTTTCAAAGCTCCAGTTCACACAAACACCTACAGATCAGTGACAGCTCCTGGTCAGGTTGTTGACAAACCTCCAAATTTTACAAAAGAAGGAAAGAAGTGGTTAGTTGTGAGTATCGAAAAAGTTTAATTTCAAGAGTTGTTTTTCTTTCTCTTCACTTCAAAAATAAAATAATTCTGTGGGAATTATTAAAATCTTTCATACCCAAATAGAAAAATTATTCCTACCCATGTAGTATCTAATAACTCAATGAATATTTTGATAAACAGAATGCCAGAATTGCAATCTTGAAGATCAGAATATTGTTACCAATTGAGTAAGTTGAACCTTAACCCTTTTCCGATAATTTTAATGAAGCAACCGTGCAGGCGGTGTCCAGGAGACTCGGGAGTTCCTGTGACAGAATTATGCTTACTGTATTACTTTTGCGTTGTGGATAATGAAACATAACACTCTAATATAAATATTTAGTACAACAAAACCTTTAAAAATACTTTACATTTGTTTATTAAACAGCTTTTCTCTTATTATAGATCACACACACTGTTCTCCACGTTATGATCATTACAGAGAGGTTTTGAACAGATACTACATCTAAGTTATAGGTGTTGTGGTGTGATATCTTTGGCATTTTTCATAAAATAATTAAAGAACATGTCATTGTCAAACGAAATGATTAATGCAATAGCCAGCTTAAACGATGCTAGCCAGTCATTCATGATTGGTCTGCTGGATGGAAACCACAAAAGGTAGTCCGTTATTTTGTGCTTCGCATCAAGTCAGACAACTGATGATGGATGGCTAAGCACAATCGAAGCTGATTGCATTGAAATAATATGTTTGCAATGGACATGTAACGTCTTTAATTATTTTAACAACTAAGTTCTTATTCGTTGCCCAAGGCACACACATTTTTTGGCAGTGTTATAAATTTTCTGAGTTGTGGAAGCTCCTTCTCCAAAAACATGTGTGATTGACACTTGTTATTCAATCCGGTTTTTTGACTGTCTCCTTGCATTTTGTGTAAGACCTAAATTCTTTGCAGTATCAACAATAAAAAAAAATAGTGTGATCTCGTGTTTTCTAACATCCAGTCAGGATCTGCATCATTCCTATCGCTGTTTCCTACAAAACCTGGTCTGCACACAACTTCAAAAACTCCCTCTCCTGACTCTGCTATGTTCTATCACATGCAGCAACACTGTCTACAAAGGCGTCAATCTTACAATAGCTAACACGTAATATCGTATAACTTCCCAATAAAAAGATGTTGCGCAACCCGACATTCGTCCATCCCTTGAGCATGAAGCATTCACCATATAATCGACCAAAGAAAACCAGAAAATGCAATATTAAACGCAGATTAAGAGACCTGAATCCAATGGGCCTTGCTTGCCCAGTTGCAGCTGATAAAAGATTTCTTTTATTTTTTTAATTTAGTTACTCTTTCTTAAAATATTTGCTGGAATATTTAAAAAACACTATAGCAAACAGTTACAAAAACCTATCCTAACACCTTAAATAGTTTTCATGTAAAATATTATAAAATTGTGCTTTTTCGTCCAATGGATCCTTGTTGCCCAATCAAGGGTTAAAGAATCACACAAGTTGAATTTATTTACACTGGTTATTGGTAATGATTAAATTGTTGGTAGATGTTTGCTCTCAAGTAGCAGTCCTCTCCTTTATAAAAACAAAATTTGGAATAAAATTACAGATTTATACAAAAATACAAGATTTAAGCATTTGAGAACTATTGTAGAGTCCAATCATTGTGTAGTACTTGAAAATGTATTCAAGAATTGATAAATTAATGTTGTATCAAAAAGTAAGAGATATTGTGTGAGACAGAAAATTGAACACAGTTTTAATCACGAAAAATTCTAGTATAATCAGAATTTGTCTGAACATTAGAATATTAAATAATCAATATTCCCTGCAACTACACCAGGGGCTCTTGATGGCATCACTATAGACCCCCTGGGGTCGATGGAATTTTAAAGGGAAGTTAGTGATGATCAAGAGGTCAATTGCTGAATTATGAACCGGTACCTTATTGGTATAATCAAGATATCATTGATTGTAAAAACTATATTGATAAACGTAATTGTTACTAGATTACAAGTGTATTGCGAGATGCCTAGGTTTTTGAATAGGATTTTGCAAATCACAGGTGATACAATGCTGGGACAAACACTCACTTCATTTTATTTAGTATTAAATCAGTAAATATTCTTTTTGAAATCGGTTACCACTTTTAAAAAGCTTTTTTTCCCTTTCCTTGCAAGCATGTTTTCCCTTGTTGGTGATTTGATGGTCAAAAAATAATCTTAATATTATTCTTGTGTAATGTGATTTTTATATAGGGACGTAAGCATAGTAAGGTGAAAAGTTTGTTTTTTGTGTAATGTTTTCAAAAATTTTGAAGTTTGTTTGACTAAAAGATGAATTTGAAAAAAAGAGAGAGAAAATATGGGAGCAGGGGTGGGTATTATTTTGAGAAAATTACACTGCCTTACTTGGATGTTTGTTAAAAATAACCAATGGGAATGCAAGTATGGCAGGTTCTGATTAAGTATTGAATAACTTCATTGTTAATTATTTAATTGTGAACTACCTTCTTGTGTTATGTGTGCTTAAATTGCAATACTTTTACTTTTCAGGAATATCATAAAGGAAATCAAAATTTACTCATTGACCAAACAGAAATGAACAACGTAATTTACATGTACAAATGTGTAGAGTCGACTTTAACAGTGAAAGGAAAAGTAAATTCAGTGGTATTGGATTCGTGTCGCAAGTCATCTGTAGTTTTTGATTCTGTAGTTTCATCTGTGGAGTTCGTCAATTGCCAGTCGGTGCAAATGCAGGTAACATAAATGAAATATTTTATCTTAAAACAAATACTAATTTGTGGTTGTTTGCAGAAAAGTACGTGAAATTTCTGTATTAAAAGGCTGTAAATAAAATTAAATAATTTGAAAATAGTGCTCATTCATTGCCTAAGTTCAGTTTATTCAGAACTTGTGGTTAAAAACAAATATGCTGAAATGTTTTGAAATGAAAATGAAAATCAAGACTGATATATATATTTTAATTCAGTGAATAAATTAATTTGCAAATCATGATAACATTTGTAAGAAACCAAAAGAATTTCATTTTCAGTGACATCGGAAAATGTGATAATATTTATGTATTAAAGTGTCCCTAAACGTTTTTAATTTAATTTCTTTTAAGATGCACAGTTCAAAAAATTACATGAATATTAAATGATTTTATTCCAGAATTGCAAGGTTTTTGTGAGAAAACCACATGAATGATGCAGAATAAATGCAATGTAATAATTGATAAGCCGGAGTTATTGGAAGTTTGATTGATCCACTAAAAATCCAAACCTCACTGAAAAATGTTTCGAGTAATATTTAGAACAAAGAATGTTTAATGCAATTTTATTATATTAAATATTAATTCTTTAGTTCATAATTTATAGCTGTTTTGAATGATATACATTTGTATCAAAATGTTAATATTTCAATTCTTCATAAGTGTGAAAATTAAACTTGTTGTGCATTGAAACAATGTATAAAAGGTTCTAATCCTATGACAAGAATATAAAAACCTTGTACTTTTAGTGTTAACAAGAAGTTGGTTTGTTTCAGGTTATTAATAAAGTACCAACTATATCCATTGATAAAACTGATGGATGTCAAATGTATCTCAGTCCTGAATCACTTGAAGTTGAGATTGTAAGTGCGAAGTCATCAGAGATGAATGTAATGGTCCCAAAAGCAAATGGAGAATATGTGAGTTCAAATATTATTCAGATCTATTGCCATGGAAGTAATGATTTCCCCACAATATCTAACCGAAAATGGCTTTTTTCAGAGTGAATATCCTGTGCCTGAGCAATTTAAGACCACACTTTCACCAAAAGGCTTGTTGACTGTTGCAGTTGAAAACAAAGGGTAAGGTGCCTGTTGTTTTGTAGTTCAGTGGAGTTTCATAAAAGGTGATAAATAAAAATGGGTTCTAGGCACAATATTAATGCAGAATGATAATGACTGCATTAAAAGTGATAGGGTACTCAAAGTTCATGCTGATGCTGATTACTTCTTGGCTTTGGTATAATCAGTTTGTGTAGAAATTTTGTTTTAAAAAAATAATAATAATAATAATGACATGTATGTATGGATAACGAGATTATTTTAACCAGTATTTGGGAAAGACTGATTTGTGGAGATAGTTACTTGACTTCCATTTGAATATTTAGTTTATTCGAGAAACTATTTCTAAGTCTTTCAAGAGAAATTTGTGCAAAATACTGCTTTTGTGCAGCAAGTCATTTGTTTTCTTATATAACATCAAGAGGTAATCTTATTTTTGCTTCTCAGTAAATCATAAATTATGAATTTAAATCCAATGTAATGAGAGATCTCAAAACAACTATGTAAACATTTTAAATAGTTTGTTAATGAATTGTGAATTTACTAGACATTAGTGTGCAGTTTCTTCGTACTTGAATATGGGACGTGTAATCATGACAATCTCTACTACATTTACATTTTAATACACTACAATGAAAGAGCATTACTTAAATGTGGAATGACTAGAACTGTTTATTTCATGGGAATATTAACTTGTACAGTCAAATGAAATATAAACTCGAGAAATAATTTTCACCAGAAGTCACTTGCCTTACAATTAAATATTGTTTTGTACTGCAAACATTCATGATTAATGTGTTCATTAGCTTATCATAGTTTGCCAAGACAACAGTTGTGGTCATTCAACAGAGTAATGCTGGCTTAGATATTAACTTACATTGCAATCATTTTTAAAGAACTTGCTGCCATTGATGTAGAAATCAAGTATATATCTCAACCATGGTAATGTATGTTCACGTTGTTGCAATTCTACCCATGTAGCTTAAAGGCAATTGTGTATTAACGATATGAATTATCTGAATATTTCAAATTCAATATAATCCTTGATAGCCCTTGCTCTTCAGAGCTGCAATAAATCTTTTAATATTAGCTTATAATTTTGCACATATAATGCATACATATTTTTAATAAAAGGAGTTTATTTTATTGTTTCCTTCTGTGAAACTTGATAAGTTTTTAAATGATACATAAACTGTGGATGCAGTTGTGAAGTTTTAGGTAGTGAAGGAGGGTGCATAGCATGCCTATCTGGTTTGTTGTCTTAGCTCTGCTCTTTATCAGCAATACAAGCATTGCTCTCTCGCTTCACAGCTAGCGGAAATAATGCACTCCTTTGCTTCTGCACCAACTGAGCCAAGAACCAGCAGGAAAGTGGTCCAAAGCAACACCAGGCAACCCCAAACACGTCAACTAAGAAATTTTTTATAACTTTGTTCTTTTTAGTCCATCATGGAAATATTTTAGCTGATATTTTGTAATTGTGGTTTGTCAGGGGACCAGGTGTATGTGCCACATTGAATAATGTTGCTGGTAATATTGAATTGGTTTCCTGAATTGTAAGTAATATTTTATCTCGTATTAGGAAAATATTGTGCAAGTTCTTCTTTCAATAATTATCTACTGCATACTGTGTCCTCGAGTAGGTCACAAAAAACTTTTCTACTAATATTCTTGGTTACATATCTGATTTTTTAAATGCATTTGGACATGCATTTCATGCGAAATAAAACGTGCTACACTTTGTGTCTGATTATTCATGATGTGTTGTATGAATTTTTTGCCTTTACCCATTTCCTCTCCTGAGAAATGGTGAAAACATTTGCAACAGAAAAGATAACACTGAAGCATCAGAAGAGGATCAGGGTTGTTTCATACCAATTATGCATCAAGCTATGAACATAACATGTAGAAATGCTTTGGTGGAATCGTGAATGAATTAGATTATGGATTAATAAAATTAAAATTTTTAGTCAATAAATTGTGTTGGAGTTCGTATTTTAAATAGGTGAAACTAAGTTTCTGGAGATACGAATAATGAAATGTAGAAAGACCATGCATAAATCTTAATTTTGCCCTGCAATGCTTGCTGTTGCATTCTGCGAGTCAGAACATAGCGGTTACATAGGAATCGTTTTTGCCTCTGCCAGAATGGCCAGCCTTTTCTCCACGGGAATGAATGTGCATATATGGGACATTAATATTTTTCTTTGCAACCCTGTTTCACATTTGTAATTTTTACAGTAAAATTTTGCTCTTAAAATAACCAATACATTACTAATATATTTTTATTTGTATCTCATGAATGTTCATAAGTATTACAATTGGAAGTTTATTCTGTTGTTAGTTTTTCTAAATATTTGGAATTGTGAAACCTGATTCTTGACGAGGCTGAATTGTTGTTTTTCAAACTTATATTTATGGTTGCACCAAAAATAATTTTAGTGACAGGTTGATTTTTTTTTCTTTTTTAAATTTTTTTTAATAAAATTAAATAAATTCTTAAGTTTTGTCCCTTAAAATACAGTTTGATTTTATACTTTCATTTTATTTATCTTACGGCATGTTATCACTTTTAATAGAAAACTGCAGTCTATTACACATTAGATGAGTTTCCTTTTTTTTACTGGTATAAAATAAAACTTTATTGGTTGTTACTAGTGGTATACTAGCTCTTGGTAAGTTCTCAAATTTGGAGAGCAGGGAAAATAGTAAAATGCAATGATCATGCAAAAGTTTAATATTAGAATTTAATGTAAAAAGTTTTGGGTTCTACGAGGTGCAAAATATCTGTTCTAAAATAACCTGCTCCCAAAATATACAGAGTTCTCCAGCATACCTGGAGGCCTCGTAAATGTTTGTGATGACTTGCATTTTCAAATTTTTCTAATAAGTCATTCATGGTTTTTGTTTGAACTTCTTGTACTGATGGAAATCGGTAAATTTAGCGACCTAACGTAATTCCCCATTTCTGTCACAAGTTTTGAAAACTATTATTTATATTGTTTCATCCCCATGTTCACACTTAGTGTGCAAATTTCTGGTATACATTTTAAAATTTAATGATTTTAATGTAGATCTGTGAATTTTTTTTATTAAAATTTTTATAGTATTGAGTACCAGTGCACATTAACCCAAAGAGGATATTTTCGAAATCAACTCGTGTATGGCTCCAACTGTCCCTTCAATTTAATGTTGAATCAAAACAACAAAGTGAAAATTTGGAAAATGTTGTTGTTTCATTACCAAATGTAATATATTCAGTGCCAGATAAAAATTACCGTAAAAAAACTTTAATGCTGATTGAAATTTTATCACAATATTATGTTCTCAATGGCAAGAGAATGTGTAGCTTCTCAAAAAGTTTCAGTAAAGATAGTGGGGCTGAAGTGTTTAATATTTAAGAATTTTTCTGAATATTGTTGATGTGACAATAAAATGTATTGAATGTTACACAAATGTTCATTATTAAACTTAACATTGCCAACAATCACACCAAAAGTTAAACTACCAAACAAAGAAGACTTGGTTTTAAAAAGTTGGATTCTTTGTTACAGAGGTTTCAGACATTTTGTGTAATATTTCTTTAGAATAATTTATAAAAATATAAAATAATTACATTGCTCTCACACATGTGCTTTAGTTGTTTGTTTTTTTACTGCATCTAGGCCATGTACCTATCTTCTCTTTTCAACAACTTGATAAGATGAATTCACTTGGTAGTTATGCATGGGTGCAGTGTGGATATGTATTTCTGCATGTGGTGTGGAACAATCAATACAACACCATTGTAATCTTTTGTTAAAGTTCACAATGAAAGGATATTTATCAGAGCATTTCTTTACAATTTTATTGTCAAGTTATAAAAGGAAAAACAAAACATTTCTTGATCATGCTCATACACATTGTTTAATGTCTTAATCTAAACTGTCTTTAATTTCCCTTATTCTAGTTTCATGTTGTAGATCGTTATAAAAAAAATTATTGAATGTATCAGCTAGTTCATTGATTGGGGAATTCAAGTTTCATGATAATGAAAATAACATGAAGGATTTGAAAATAGGAATTGAGTATAAATTTGTTCACTAGTAATAAAGTAATGATATTACACGAGTGAAAGAATGTACTAATGGTAAATAAAAACTGATGAACTAGTAAATGTATGGGGCTAATTAAAACAATTTGAAAATCTGTCTCTGGGTTTCTTGACTAACTTGCTCTCACATTGATTCTATGTAGTGCTGAATTTCTTATAATTTTCTTTGAGCTCAAAATCTTTGTTTAAGCTCCTATATTCTAACAGATATCCATAGGCACGTGCACAGGAGGGTCCAGAGATCCATTGCTCGCTGAAAGTTTTGAAAGGGGCCCTGTAGCCCTTTGTAATAAAACATTTTGTTTCCATAATTATGTTTCGGTCTCTGATTTTTCCTTTATTTCACCTGGTAATTTGGGCAAGCTCTTCAAGCCATCTAGCAACCCAGTAAATGGTCCAATATAAAATGTATTTATTAATTGAGTCATTTAAGTTACAATTTCACTCTCCTTGTAGTGTGTTTTATTTCTTTTCTAGTAAAATATGTCCCCTCCACCACCCAATCTTGTTTTAGGCTGTGCATGCTCATGCAGAGGTCATTAAAATATTATGTCATTTCTGAATTTTCCACATTTTCAATGCCTCTGATAGGTTGAATTTGTTTTGTCATGAAGGAATTCGCATATAATAAATTAAAGTTTGTAAATATTACAATTCTACTCAATAAAATATTCTGTTTTATCTTTTTAGTTCAGTAGCCAGCCTTCAGATTCAGAAGGAACAACAATTTTACGAGTATTACAAGTCTTAATCAAAAATAATAGTTATTTACAAAATTGTCATAAGACATCGCAAAAACAATTATCATAAGACATCTAATTGCAATAGAAGATTTGAGAATTATCGAACAATGCCAGTTCAATAATCAATCGAGTATTGTAATGAGATGTTATAATATGTATTATCTAATTTGCAATAATTCCAATGAAGTGCAATTTTCATTTAAATTAGTCTTTTCAACCTGTGACATGTTCATGTGAAATGTTCAAAACTGATGATGATATAGTTAATAGGAGACCATGGATTATTAAGGAATTTATTATGTGAATCCTTTTCCTTTTCATTACGAAAATTATTATTGTCATTAAAATTGGGCCAAGGATTATTAGATGGATTACTTGTGTTCTAGTAACTCTTATTATGAAACGGATATCAGTTTCTTACTTTGACTTAAGAAAACCAAAGGAGATAAAGTACATTTTTGATACCAGTAGTTTAATCAATGCCACTTATCTACAGTACAATAAAACTTTAATAGTACAGCGGCTGTGTATTATCTGTTTAATAAGTTGAATAATAATTATTTTTAAATATATTTTATTAAATAGAAGATATTTATTATTTTTGCATCGGCAAATATGAAACCAGTTGACACAGTCGGCTTTCCCTGCAACTTAGGCATGTTTTAATATTAAGCAATTTCTGCAATATAATTAAAAGTGCAGTTTATTTGAACATGGCATGGCTTAACAATAAAATTCAAAATATATTTGATACATTAGTTGTGGACTAATACATTACAACTTGTGACAGCCCCATTCATCATGGTTTATTTATTCATCAGTATCAAATATTGATTGATTTTTTTTATTGAAAGTGGATATTTTAGGGGTGGGGGGAATCAGAAAATCTTTTAGTTTCTGTTTCAGAAGTAACACATTTCTTCTTTTCTCTGCTGTAAAGGTTGACTCCTTGTATAATTTGTTAATTAACGAGACTGTTTTCCTGAGTTATTTTTTCTAATCTTTACTTCTTTGCTTTTGGGAACAAATGCTTTGGTAACACTTTTGTCTGGATGGGGTTTTCTGAGAACCCCATGCAACTGCATGTGGCATCAGTTTATTCTTGAAGCAGTTTCCTCTCTTACCTGAGAGAAGATATCACTAACATCTGAGATTTTTGAATTTGAGGAAAAATACCACCAATTAATGTGTAGTAATGTTACTGCAACAAAATGTAACATTGTAGATGTAAATTGGCATAAAAGAAAATCAATTTCAAAATATAGCATCAAAGGTATGCTTTCTTTTACAAAATAACTTCATGTTTTATTTATTAATAATTAAATAATGTAATTGCACTTATTCTAAAATTCAAGAAATCATTTAGATGTGTGTTGCTTGGGAGAACTGCTTCAAAATTTACACCAAGGCAATTTGTTTTAGTTGTTTACCAGATACGGGACATGAAAAATCTGGTACTGGTGAATCCCATGCTGTAGCAACGCCAGTTTCTTCTGGATCCATTTGCTGTATTTTGGTGTAATAAATATTTAGTTTAAACCATTTTAATTTGTCAAATGTTTATGTGAAGCAATTTTCCTTTTTTCCATTATTTTCCGTAAACATTTTTATTGTTGGATTTCTTGTCTTTGGTTTATGCACTTTCATCACTTTCTTTTCCTTTCCTATGCTGTTGGTTCTTTTCTTTCTGTGAAGTATAAGAAAAAATGCCAGAAATAGTGTTTCTAAGATCATTTCAGTTGCTGACTGTTGGCACCTAAAACATTTTTTCTTGTTTTCTCAATTTTTTTGGATCCCTAACAGCAGAATTGAAATATGACTAAGAATATTATACAAAGGTAAAATCTCGTCTTGTATGTACATTTTTATGGGAAAATTTGGAGCTGGTATTAAGAAAATGCCATTTGAGTGTTTCTAAAAATAGGCATTTTGAGGCTTATCTTTCTCCAAAGATTGGTAAGCTTCACTAGCTCATGCTGCTTAACGATTATCTAAAATATTTTCGCTTGAAAGTTTCGTGACAAGTTAAAATGAATAGATACTGAAAAAATGTAGGTGAAGACTTTCCCTCATTTATCTCCCCATGGACCCGTGCTTGCTGTATGAATCAAATCAACACGCAATTTTCGGAAATTCTGTGAGTTCATGGGAAATGAGACCTGTGCCATTCTTTTAAGTGTCCCTTGTTTTATGGCTGGAATTTTTTTTTAAAAAATTGTAGAGGTTTTTGAGAATTTTTTTAATAATGTATTACATTAGTCTCAAGCAGAAGTTGCGCGTAAACCGTTCGTTTTATCAAAATCTTTTACGTGACCTTTTTGAAAGATATGATATTTTAGAACACTTTTATTTAAGGTAAAAATTTCTTATCTTCGATTTTGTAGTGTTGAAATGGTCCAAATATTTGACAATAGAGTTTGCTGAAAATGAGACCAGCACCAACTTTTTACCGACCTTTGAGCATACAAGGAGGAAATTTTAGGAAAAAAATTTGGAGAAGTGTTTGAAGCAAAAATTGTTTATTTTTGCCTGTATTTCAACCAAAAATACGCCAATTAAAACATATTATATTTTCCAAAAGTTGTAGGCCTACATGACCTTATTTCAAGATTTGACTTTTAAGAAGATATTTCTTTCCGGAAAAATCTCAATCTTCAATATTATAAAGCCGAACAAATTTTGAACTTTTGCAATTTTCGAAAATTTTGTGATTTCAACGAAATAGTGAGTTGCACCAATGTTTCATGTGTCTTTTATGTTATGCAAAGACAAAGTTTAATTTAAAAAATTGAAGGCATTTTCGAGGAAGTTTTGAACATGTCTTTTTGGCTTCTTCTAAAATGTCCCCAAAAATCAAAATATCCGTTTCAAACACAGGGCCTGGAGTTCCTTTAAATTTACTGAGGAATATCAATTTTGGAGAAAATCGGCTAGCTTTGAGCAGACGTTTTTTCCGCAAGTCGATTTTTCTATATCAAGGACCCAAAAAACATGGATTCTGATCACGTCGTGTTATAGGAAGTAATTTACTATGTATAGGAACATGATTTATCCATTTTTTTCGTTACCAGGACTCGACAATAAGTTTTTATTTTACAGGCACGGCATTACATATACTGCAATAAGTAATTTATTGTACACAGTAACAGGTTTTATCCATTTTTTCGTTACCAGGTCGCGGCTGTAGGATCTTTTCTGTCGAAAGTTTTTCGGCGCACGAACTTTCTCTTCTTATGAAGTTCGAAGAATTAAAAGTGTTTGAAGAAGGGGTACAAATCCCAACGCCGGGTAATTAGCAAGAGTTAATTTATTTTTATATTGAATGATTTACACAGCAAAGAGTGCAAAATTAAGCCTATTTTGCGCCACGGGCCGAATGCGATCTTTTCTTCCCTTTCCTTGTCCGATCTTCGCGTTTTAGTTACACACACGCATTACACTACCACGCACGACGGGAAAGCTTGTCCCGGCTGGGGCGACGGCCCACTGATGGAAGATACCTAGTTGGGAAAAACCCACAAGCCGATGGGTAGGTCGGCGCCGGATCTCGCCATCCAGAAGGGGAAGATCACTGCCATCTCCCGGGATAAAAATGTACTAAACGTACGGACTAATAATCTTTGCTGTTGACTCAATCGGTATCATTAGTAAATCATTCATTGCTCTTTTATTTATTATTAAACTATGTTAGTAATGGAGAGGAGTTAGGGATGCCGGAGCTCAAGAAAACGTGCGCCCATCCACTTTCCCCCGATTGGCCTTCTACTTTCTCGCCCTTACTTCGCAAACAGAGAAAATATTGTAAATCGTACGCCGGAAAAAAAACGGAATGTTCGTAGTAAAGTATTTCCTCTAACATGTTGTGTAGTCAGAGTCCAGGTATTGTGATATGGATATCGATTGACGGCAAATCTTCTGTTTGTCCGCCTGTCGTGAACTTTACCGCTTAATCCTTTCAACCGAATTTCTCCAGTCGATTTAAAGGAACTCGAGGCCTTCTAAGTTTGAAACGGATATGTTAATTTTTGGGGGTACTTCACAAGAAGCTTTTGTAAATTTTACATGAAGACTCAAAAACATTTTCAATTTTTTAAAAAAAATGGCTGCAAATTTGTTGATTAAACTTTGTCCTTCGATAACGTAAAGGATGCTTAAGACAATGGTGCAAGACTCAAATATGATCTTTTTTCCCTAAATGAAATGTGTTCATCAAAAACAGATCTTCAAATTTCAAAATTTATATCATGCAAAATTTGGCGAAAACTACTTATATTTTTTCCTTTTTTGACTTTAATAGTTCAATAAATCAATATTCAAAGTTTGGCTGTGTGTAATTTCGAATTAGTCCTTGTTTTTAGTCCCAATTTGAATACGCTTGTGTCAATAAGAACGAGTTTGCACTCAATTTGATTTGAAAAGGTGTAGATCATCGACTTCGCAAAAACTGTTTGCTTCGAAATCTTAACTCCAAAACAACACACATGGTTTCTGACGGTGCCAATTATGCACCGGTTCGCGCCACATCGCGTCGCGTACTATATGTGCTGCGACCCCTTGTGAGCCTTTCGCGTCGCATCGCATTGCCTCGCATCGCGAGGTGGTTTACCCAGCTACCAACCACATTGCAAAATGGACAAATATTAGGTTTCTACATTTTTACTTCTATATCATACATAATGTTGCATTACATCTATACATAATCCATAAATGTAATGTATTTTCCATGTATTTCATAAAAAGCACAATTTATTTGATAATTTCTTGTTGATGTCCACTAAGACAGGCGCTGATCTACGGGGAGAGAAATGTGGGAAATTTCCATCCCTAAAATTTTTTCAGGACCTAAGTATTAATTTAAACTTATCACGAAACATTCAAGCAAAAATATTATCGGATAATAATTAAAACTAATAAAATCGTATCGCTGCATGAGCTGGGTGTGACCTGCGATATTTTACAAAATGTGTAACATAACACATTCGACCGAAACATTTTGAATTCCCCCCCCCCTCTCAAAAATCTCTGGACCCGCTCCTGATTAAGGCATACTGACTGAGTTCCTACAGAGAAATATCTGTTGCCACTGCAGACAGTCTAGGAAGTCTAGTTGAGGAACTTTCGACACGTACTCTAACAAACGGGGTTTCATGGACAAAGCGTGACCTTTCCTTCCTCATCTTTGTTCCGACCTCTCCCCTTTCACTTACACGTGTACATTTGCATATACTACACATGACGAGACCAATATAACGCTCTCTTAGAGCTTGTAATGTGTGTGTGTGTAACTAAGACGCGAGGATCGGACAAGGAAGGGGAAGAAAAGATCGCGTTCGGCCCGTGGCATGTTTGTTAGAGTACTACTCTAGCATTCTCCTGATATTGAACGGCGAAACTACGGAAAACTAGCAATCAGAGCAGCCGATCGCTAGCAGAAATAGATCGCATATCTATTTCTGTTTCTCAACCGGGCTGTATATTTAATTTGATTATACTGTCATGTAATATAACCAATTTTCTCATTATTTTCTCTCCTTTAGCTCAAAGAAACGTTCGCGAATCATACCTGCCTTATCCCAGTTAAGTCCATGATCAAAGTGCCTTGTTTTGCTACTGGACATAAATGTAGCTTCACTATGCGCACGTTTTGTTGAGCTCTCCTTTTGCTTGTAATGGTAGGAGTAGAGCTGGGGGTGAGTTACTATTTTCGTAGCAATGCAGAAAAATCAAATCTGCAGTTCGTTCAACGATGCAAATAAGTTTTATATAACTCGGAAACGAAAAAGTCAAAAGTTCTTCAAATGTTCAAATTTTGCGCTTTTAAACATTTCATTATTATTTATTTTGTTTGTTTTATTTTTCAAACTTTTATTATTCTTTCTACTGTTTATAATCAAAATATTGGAAAGGGATTCTGGAACCCAAGACATCGTGCGCAGATGATCTTCTTACGCACCCATAGTTCTTACTGATTTTGACTAAATAAATGAGAAAACGTTACCTGCCGCCCGTGGCCAAGCGTCTCAGTGCCAGCCGCCGGCGCAGTTGCTTCAAAACGAAGGGGGAGGAAGCTGGCGCCCGACCGGCCGCGGAGACTTCGCAGACGGAAGGGTATAATCCGAAGACCTGTGCCCGCGCGCTGGCAGTGCGGTCAGTTGGCGCCGAGCAGGTAGCTGGAAAAGGTGCACTTTTGCACCGTCGATACTACAATGAAGTCGGTTTGGGCGCTTCGCTTTTTGCTGCTTTGTCTCACGCAGTCTGTCGTTTGCGGATACATCACATATGTCACAAGTAAGTATATTTTTTATACGTAAATAGGTTTAAGTAATAGTTTAGTTAACATACGAGTGGGCATTATTATTAGATTTATGCATTTATTTTTATTTTTAAGTATTTTCAAGTGGGAACAAAGAGTTATTTTTAACACAATTATTCGTTTCCTTGTAAAATGAAGTATAACATCGGGTATTCATCTTTTTATTGTAGCACAAATATAAATTATTTGCTATTAAAAGTAGGGATGCCCGGCCTTCCGAACCTTTTACTCCTCTCAGTGCTATTTATTACTCAACTATTCATATTTATCGAAACATTTCATGATATCATTTAAAGATCTAAAGCTCAGGCATAAATTTGGTCGAGAAAGAAATCATGCTTTAATATTATAAGTGTAGGAACAGGTGTGAAAATAAATATGAACTTGGCAAAATTAGAGATGTTTATGAAAATAGGAGCCCTGCCGTATTTGTAAATGCTATTTTTTCTAAGAGGTGCGGTGAGTTTACAGAAAACTTTGAAAATGATACCGGGGCCAAAAATGTATTAATGTTTTCCGGAACGGCACAGTTAGCCCTGACGAATTCACAAAGTTTCAGTGCAAAATATTCTAATCGGACAGAATTACGCGTGACGATTCTTTATTCTACTCATGAAAGATAGACCAATTTTTAGATACAAAACTGCAAGTGTACCTTCTCGCCACCTGTATCGATGTTAAACATCTTTGTTCCTAATCCATTAAGCGACTGCTCAAAAGAACCGTAAACCCGGATTTTGCGACTGAAGATTTTAGATTGTATTGCTGAGGCGATTCCGGTACCTTTCCTGTCGATTCAGTCTTACAGAGAGGGGAAAGTGAAAATGTTTTATTTATGAAATTGGGTACGTTCCTCAGCAACATCAAAATTAATTAGCAGTATCGAAAAACAAAGTAATATTAATTATTCGGCTAAATAGTAGAAATCCTTCAAACGTATCACCAAATTATCTAATGATCTATATAATTGGATTTATGTAAATTGCTGCTCTAGGCAATATTTTTTTGGCACTCCCCCCCCCGGTTAATTTAATGAAATATAATGTCAATGCTAACAGGCAGAAAATACGTAACTAAAATTAAAAATAAATTACATTGTAATTCATTTTTAAACTGGTTTTAACTATATATTATTAAAGTATTATAATGCAACATAATTGACTTAGTCTAACTCTTTGGTTGGCAAATTTGATATCAGAATTTACTTAAAGTAAAATCTTTTTGTATGCTAAAAGGAAAGTGAAATTAATCTATTTTCGCTCATTGTTAATCGTAAGTAGTTTTTACCATGCTTTTGAACTGAAAAATCTTTAGCCAAATAATTTGAAATAGGTGTACACATTCATGCGAAAGGCGATATGATATAATCAGTTGAAAATTTGTGAAAAGTTCAGTTCTTCCAAGAAACTGAAGCAAAACCTGCAACGAATTTTCTTCCAAAGTTATATCAACATCACGCAAAAACATAAAAAATGTTCATAAAAATATTTTTTAATTTAACATTCAATAAACATAAATATAATATCTAAAAAAACATTGCACCGAAAATTTTCGCCCTTCCAACTGTTGCCGCCCTAAGCATTTGCCTACTCATAAATCCGCCACTGGCTCCACCGATAGAAAATTCGGGGGTAATTTGTAAGGAACCATTCGCCTTGCGGGAGCCGTTAAAATTTCGTTCCGTTCGTACAAGAATACAATGCAAGAGAGATTTAATTTTTTCACGGCTGTTCATTCCCTTCGTACAGAAGTACAGCGGCAACGCAAGGTTACGCTCAGCAACGCGTGGACGCATCAATGCTATATCTGGCTAAATCGAACCTTCGGCAGGTAGACGCGCTTGGTCGTACCTTCAGGTTTTTCCCGGAAGAGGTCTATTTAGAGTCCAGAAATGCAGCAGGACGTATGCGAGGGCTGTAGACGGGCCTTTCAGGGATGTGTCAACCGAACTACTCACCAGTAACGGAAGAGGCGGAGAAAGGACGCAACACATTTGAATACCTTCGAATGACAACCCTCCCATTCACTCGGATGCAGCAATCGTCAGGGACTTTTCGCCTCTTAAGAGGTAATCTCCTTTAGAAGAAACGGCAATTTCTTATTTGTTAATAAAAATGACAATATAGACTACATAAAATAATTGAGACAGTGTAAAAACAAAATTAAAATACACTTTAATTAGGTATTTCGAAAACGCTATATCTTCAGTCTTTTCTAAAATATGTAAACTCCCTTGATTCAGAATACGCTTTTAGCTTCGTTTTATGTGAATGTCACCTGGCCACTGTTCGCTAGTAAAACTTATTTTTAATTCAAGATCGCATCAACTTGTAGGTCATTAGCGACCACTATTGCTTGTGACTGTATGGTAACTGTGGGGACGACACGATATGATGATAGGGGGTGAAAGGACGAACACAATACAACCATGTCCGAAGCGGGACTCGAGCCCGCGATCCTTCGGTCCGAAATCGTTAAGGCACAACTGGCTTAGCAATCTCGGCCATCCGGATCGGCATTGGTTCGATGTTCACTTCGAACATGCCACTTCTTCGGAGATGTTGCATTTCTCACCAACCTGCACTTGCAGGCCCGAAGAATGAATTTCCAAATTAGATTCAATTTTGTTCGTTAACAAATTGACTTTTTGACTATTAAAGAACCAATTAGTCATTTACTCGAATGTATAATTAAAGTAACAACTCAAATTTCAAAACAATATTTCTAAAATTTGTGACGCATTAACGTTTTATAATAAAGAATCTAGAAATATTGAAAATAAAATCTTGGGTAAGGGGAGGTGATCCACAATATATATGTTGCTTTCGCGCCTTCACTTCGTAAGAGAAAGTATTGTAATCGTTCGCCAAAAAGCGGCGAATTTGCGAAAGAAAAACTGATTTCCGAGCACTACTAAAAATGTGGGTAAATCTTGTTCCTTCCTATACGTAGTAAATAATTTCCTCTTCCTCGTTGTATAGTCAAAATTCTTGTTCTAAGAGTCCTAGTGATTGACGGAAACTTCTGCCTGGTCGTCCGTATGGGATCAACTAACGCCTTAACCGTTCAACCGATTTTCTTAAGTTGATAGTCGCCGATTAATTTAAATGAACTCTCATTTCGAAAGGGATATTTTGATTTTGAAGGGTACTTTATATGAAGCCTCAACATTTTGAAAGTGTTCTAAAAAATACCATAAAACTTTCTGATTAAACTTTGTATTTGGACAGCCTAAAGAAAGTCCTTGATATTTCGAAACTTGCGAAAGTTCAATTTTTTCAGGATATTCCTACAACTATAATGTTGAAGTTGTTTTTTTTATTTGCCTTAATGAAATCTGTAGTCACGTTAATGGGGCTTGGTCGGTAGTAATAAGAAGAAATTAAAACGTTGTTAGTTTGCCAATGTATCGGAAAATATATTTCTATCTTAAGGGCTATTCAAAATGAGAAAGAAAAAACACTATTAATAAGCTACTAAAAAATATTAGATTCAATTACACTACCTAAATATAATTCAATACATTTAAACATTTTTATAAGAGTCGCACACATTTCAACCACCAACAAAGTATGAAATCTGTTCTTTTAAACTTTCTTGAAGTAAGATGGTGTATAGTTTTTCGAAAAAGGAAGCAGTCTTCGCGTAATAAAGGCAACAAATTTCATTTAAAGAAAAAAACGCTATCTTCAATATTGTAACGGTTGGAAGACGCCGGAAACATTCAAACCCTGGCAATTTTCCAAAATTCGGAAATAAGTTTGGCCCAAAAGCTTGCAATCTGTTATGCATGACACGTATCTCTATTCAAATTAATTTTCGGGTACAAAATTGTACGCATCTCCTCTCCCGCTGCACCCATTTTCACCATTTTTGGAAAAGTAAAATTTTTTTTTTTAATTCTGACGAGCGCCCTAAGTTAAAGCTAAAAATAATCTTAAACACTTATTTTACTATAGATATTCGAGGTCATATCGTTAAAATGATTTCAGGACATTTTCTCCCTTAACTGCAGTATAGGCAGAAAAAGTAGAAATAATTCATATGGAATGGGAACGACGATGCTTTGGCATGAAAACGCGCATTTTATATTTTTTACTAATTATTCTCCAAAATTACAATATGTAATTTACATGTGAATAGCAATTTACAGTGAATGTTCAAATTATCTATTCTTCCCTTATAATTACGAAATTTTCAAAAATGGCACGTACCATGCAAGCATCAGCACTTTTACCGCCGTCTTTTCATTTATTTACGATGGGAGCATAGTCTTCTGTCTTCAGGGTTTCCTTCCCCTCCCGGTCGTATTTTTATTATATCCATCAAAGCTGCGGACTTGTCTGCGGCATCTTCATTCATCTGTTTCCTTATTAAACATATTAACTGAGGAAATACATATTATATCTCCCAGTCTTTTAGGTTACAAAAAAGATTGCAGGAATAATAAGGAAAACCCACCCACAGTATTCTTGCAAGCCTCTCGTTATTAATCCAGGAATTTACCATTACAGCGTCTGTTGATTTACCAATCAATGGTTTATGTCAACAATGGCTTACTCAAAGGCGGGAATATTTTTTCGGCAAACACCGATGTCTAGAACTAGATATTTGCCGTAGTAATCATATTCATTAGGAGACTGTATCAACACCTCGCCAAAAAAAGAAGAAAAAAAATCACATAAAATACATGTACATTATTTTATAACACTTTGCCAGATGACATTAAACGTCTAAAATCGATACAAAAGTTTGTTCCAAGTACAGTCTTTTCTTCTGCATAACTGTTTCTGTACAATTAGACTATATCGAGTATCAAAACGAAGAGTAATACTAATTTTAACAAGGATATTTAGTGCATTATTTACCATTTGTACTACATTCTAAACAAACCTTTAACAAGTATTGTACCTCAGCTTCTGGATCAGTGACCACGGCAAGATATGGGGCAGTGGCCCCCATATTTTTCAGGGTTTTTGTCCTGTTTCACGGATCCTTTTGAGCAAATGTTGAGATGGTCACCTGTTTTGCTTCTGGGCATAAATGTAACTTCATTATCTGTTCAATGGGGAATCGTCTGTTGTTGCAGCAGGAAAGTATTATTCTTTCACGAACGACATGAGGGATAAGAGCCCCAAACCATAGCTGATTTACACTTGAAAATAGATTTTGTTACATAAGAGCAAATAATTTGTTGAATTATATTCAACTTTAAGGATCTTAAGGCAGCTTACTTATATAGGGTAGGGATCTCAGAATTAATAAAACGAACACAGTATACACTTCTCCCCATAGCAACGAATCTATTAGGTAAGAGTCCTACTGCACAGCTCCTGACCTCTGGCGAAAAATATATATATATATTTATTTTTATTTTCAGGATCGAGCCCATCATTGAACATTCGAGGAGAAAATGGAGTGTCCTTCTATTCTCCAAATGTCTGGTATCGTCGATACAATGGATACCCTTGGTGGAGGGTTGCTTTTCCATCCTCGTGGACATTACCTAATGTGTATTTTACTAGTGGGCCTCACCAGCTATCGGACCATTTCAGTTCTCCGCTCTTAACAAAACTTGGATATCACTACACAGGTTCAGAGTATAATTTACCAAATTTGGTTGTACGACCCATTGTCTTTAAGCCAATTCTACATGATTCCTCGTATCTGGACGATACTGATAATCTATCATCAACTGAAAATACTGTAGTACCCGTAAGTGATGACAATTCTGGTAATAATTATATTTATGAATCAAACACTGATTCAGAAAGTACTGAAGAATTTGATAAACCAGACATTATAAATGAGCAGCAGTACGTACCACTAAAGACATCATTAAATGAATACTCATCATACAATCCTGGAGAAACAAATTCTTCACATTTCTCACCTGAAACTACAGACTTGTCTTCAGAGTTTAGTGTTACAAGTGAGAAATCAAAATCTCAAAAGTCTACAAGTAACAATTCTCCAGGTAATTTACATATTTTACTAGATTCAGAAATGGTAAATTTCAATAATTCTTCCGTTGACAATGCATCAAATGAAGATTCAAATAGTGAAGTACAAGCCAATGAAAGTACAATGGAGTCTTCCAAGCCCTCAACAATTTTTCCCTTTATTACTTCAGAATATTCTTCAGATACAACAGCCACTCCCCATCCAACTCAAATACAGTTATTTCTACAAGTTGGTTTGACTGAAAATGATGGGAATGTATCACATATTGAATCTGTGTTAAATTCTTCAATTTCAGAAGATGCAAGCATATCTTCTGAATATTCTGACCAGATTTTTCATCTGAATGGTAAAACTGGAAAACTAAACCCAAAAGATCTGAAAGGAATTACAAATGAAACTTCTGAAATTTCAATATCTGCAACTTCAGCAATTGATCTTCCTAATGAAACTGTAGGATCAAATGTAGTAGCAGCAGCAGCAGCAGCAGTAAATGCTGAAGCAAATGTAAATTTTACTGTTCTAGGAGAAAGTTCTATCTCGGCTTCTCCAAATCCCACAGAGGAAACAAATACATTGGAAGGATCAAAATTAATGACTCAGCAAATGTTTAATAATAACAAAATAGGAAAAGAACCAAATGACAAAGGGTCAAGTTATGAAAATGCAAATTTATATTCTGAGAATTTGACAACTTCCTTCTCGCCAGTTGAAAGTACCACTGCAGAAAATATAGTAACTAAAGTATATTTGAATGTGGTATCTACTGAACCCACAATTATTGCTACACATGCAAGTATTCTTCCAACAGAATTATCAACCTTGATTCCTTTAGATGGCTCCGAAGCAGGTAGTAATGTGTTTATTGAAGAGGGAGTTGTCCAGCTTTCAACTTTTGACAGTACAACAAATGTGAATGCCCAAGATCAGTCAGGCGAATCTCCTTTACCAACATTAGGTTCTTTCTCTGAAGCTAGTACTACAGAAATTCCAAATGATCTTTCTACATTGGCTGTGGGAGAGATGAGTTTGTCTGAACCCAATGACATTTTGCCCATGGATATCACAACTGCTTCATCAGAATCAGAATCTTTGAATGCATCAAATTATGCAGAAGATGCAACGGTCTCACCGAATCCAGAACTAGTTCTGAATCTTTCTCTTAATGTCACCAGTTTGTCTGAGGAATCAAACACAAAAGAAACTTTGATTCTCAATACAAATACTCTTAATTATTTACTAATGGCAAATGAATCTATAGAACAAAGTACTGAAAAGTTACTTATGGAAAATTCAAACTTAACCACTGATGTAGTAGAACAAAGTAATAAAGTTCATGAAACTGAAAATATAAGTTCAGTACTTGCTTCTGAAATATTAGTCTCCTCTCCCAGTTACTCAGAAGACGAAAGAATTTCTGAACAGGAAGCACCAACTACACAACACTCCTTCACTGTAAGTGAGGCTATTGAATCTAATGATCAATTAACTGAAAGTCCATTCTACAGTTCAATCACAAATTTTCCATTACAAATATTAAATTCAGAGAATTGGGTAAATCCCACAACTGAAATAAATTCTAATTTCAATCCTACTCAGGAATTAAGTAATGAGGTAAATGAAAGTGGAAACCTAATTGTCACTTCTCCCTCCCCGATAACGAACTCTGATAATACAAATATACACTTTCCCACAAATGACGCAGATGAAATTGCTACTGCTAGTTATGTCATCAAAACAAAAGATTCAATTAATAATAATCATGAAAGTGAAAATGATTCCATTATCTTTCCTTTCAATGACTTTTTACCAGAAAAAGACAGTACCAATTATCATCACAATATCAGTTTTTTGGACCCTAATGGAAATCAGGAGCCCTTACCTTATGTAGACAATTTCGAGAACATATCTTCCATAAATGTTCACTCTTTCATTGAAGATCCATACAATAAAGACCGTAGTAACATACCTGAAGCTTATCAAAATGTGATGGAAAATGGAGAAAACATAAATGAAGGTGGTGTGGACTCTCTTGTAACCCAACATCTGTCTGTCAACGATACAGGAAAAGGAGAAGAAAACTCAAGAAATGAATTCGCTGAGATTAGCCAGGATGAAAATCCTTCAGAATCTCAAGATGATTACACTATTTCTTCAAAAATTGATACAATAGCATCTACATCAGAAAAAACATTTCCCTCCACAATTGACCCTGAAATAACTCGTTTACCTGATGACATAAATCAACAGGATTTTAGTTTCAACAAAAATGAAGATAATCCATCAGATAGATCCTCTTTATTTACAACCCCTTTATACAGTGATTTTGAAAATGGTAATATACACAGTCCTCAATTCTCTGAAAATATTTCTAATGAAGATAAAAGGTACAACTATACAGAAGTTGCATCCATTTCTCTAAGTAATGATAAAGTTAATGAAGATACCGGTTCTCAGCTTTCTGTGATGAAACCTGAAAATAAATATGAATTTTCACAGAATGACAATCAGCATGAAGTGGTTAACTCTCACATGGAGTCATATACACCAGCATACAGTGCAACAGGAACTGAAAATTCTCTGAGCTTGCTTCATGATGATGAAACGCATGCAACAGAAAATATTATCCAAGAGAAAAGTGAGAATAATGTTTACAAGGGAGAAGAGTCTAGTTCACAAAATCATAATCAAGGAATTTCAGAGGCCAAAGATGATGTTGATTCTGCTCAAATTGTTGATGAAGATTCTTTGCATCGTGAAAATACTGAAGTTCCATCACAAGAAACTTTTGCTAGTGATGTTCCCACAGACTATGTTTATGAAACAGAACCCTCTTCCTATTCATTTGGTGGAAGTCTAACAGAATTTGAAGACGATTTTTCAGATTCGTTTTATGGTTTAAAATTTCCTGAAGTTACAGAACCATCACATTCATTAAAGAAATATCTTGCTCAAGACAATATTGAAGAATTTGCCAGTACAGCAGATGATTCAGTTAATCACCCTCCCTATGTTGAAGAAAGTACTGAAAATTCGAATGCACAGGAAAAGGAGAATAGTAATCCCTCAGATTCACAAAAACCTTTAACAGATATTTATTATTATGAAGAGTCGCCTGAAATTCTGAATGAAGAAACATACAATGCTTCTCAAGAAGACTATGTATATGAGGATTCTTCGCTACCACAAGAGAACAAAATGTTGCAAGACAATAATTTTGGATCAAACTCCCTTCCAAATTCACTGAAGTATATTCCACAGAACACCGTGGGTGGCTTTCATCGATCTGACATTCCAATAGAAGATGAATTTTCTCATGATAATCCAAATTCTAAGGGATTATTGCAAAGAAGAAAAAGAAGACATGCAACCCTATCTCAGGCTCAAACCCAGAAATCAGAGACGAAATCTAAATTGCCCTTAGGTGATTTTTCTGCCATTCCTCATGAACTTGCAAAAGGTATGAATGAGAAGGTCACCTTTTCAAGAGACAAACGAACATTTGGTAAAATTCCTTTTTTGAGTATATTTCACAAAAGACCAGAACTTGCAGGATCTCTAGGTTTTTATAAAGGAAAACTTATAAAGAATGGTATATTGAGACCTCTCTTGCAAAAGAAACTTCATTTTTTGCACAAGAAATTGTTTCTAACCAGTCTCTTAGCAGGATTATTGGATACTCGTGATTCTGGACATTACAAGCGAAGTATTCAAGTGAAACCCTCGCCTGCTCCACATCCATGTGACCCTTGTGATCCTCACAAAAAATCTATTCAGTCGAGGGAATCTCGAGAATCTGTGGAAGATGATTATAGTTATTCAGATGATGAGTATTATTATTTTGATGAAAAAGCTCTTGAAGGTGCTGATAAAAGTTACGAGGTCAAGGCTACACCAGTTTATGATGATTCTGATGCTTCAATAACAGACTTTATTTCAATGTTACCTTCATTCGAGGGACATGATTCAGACTGAATTTGAGACATTTGTTTCTAAGTTGTCATCTGTGATATTTTGTGTGTTCCTGAATATAGTAAGACTGTAACAATTTTAAATAATTTGTGTGGTTTTAATGTAGAATTTAATTGTAGAAGTAAAAGTTCAATGCTGCTTTTAGAATATGTTTATGTATTTGATAAGTATTCCCAGAACTCAATTTTTACTTTTATATCTTATGTAGATTACATATTAGCAGGAATGCTAAACAGACATGATAACGGTTTCTAAAATAAACTGTCCTTAAAAAACTTTCATCAGTATTTGAAAACAAAATTGATGTTCATTTTAAATTGGCAAATGTGAATTTCATCATTTTGATCTTGTTTTATTAATGTATCTTCATATTGTCAAAGACTGTATATTGAAATTTTTAATACCAGTGTAATTTGTATTACTCTTAGTTGCCATTTATGAAAATGTTCATTGTAAGAAAAAAAAATATAGTTAAATAAATGACAATTAATACATAAATCTTAACTTTTATTTCTAATACTTTCTGCACATAAGAAAATGTATAACGCATGCAAATTTCAACATCCATCAAAAGAAATTGATTAATCCTGAATTTAGACTTTGCAATGTAAAAGTTCAAAATGGCAAATTAGTATTGATCTCTTGTTGAAATGTTCTCAAAAGGTAAGTTTTATCTGAAGTTTGTATAAGCACTTCGATTTAATAATTCAATTATCTCTACACCTACTGACAACTTCAGAAGAAATGCTGAGAGACATAATTCAATTGTTTTCCAATCAATTCCACAAGGTACATGAATGTATGCTCTCTTCCTTTCTTCTCTTTTACATTTCTTTTTCTCCTCCTTTTCTCACTTCCTACATCAACAGCTTGTGGAAATAAATATATTTTTCATTTTTACTTGTGTAGCTATTGTAAAACTGTGTGACGATAGTCTATTCTCTCCTGATCTTCATAGGAAACAATTCTTTCAATATTTGCAGTTAGTAAGATTTTCATGAACCTTTGCCGTAAACTTGGCTTTTTCATTTACATTTCATTTATAATTATCTGGATTTGCAAGTCCCTTACCTTTTTTCCTATCACCATCATTTGCCACTTCTATTTCACTTCCTAAATCCATTGTAAATTATACTGTTACAGAATAATGTTACTTCCAACATCACACCTTCAACTATGACTAGATGCAGGTGCATAACCAATATCATCTGCAAAATCAGTCCAAATAACTTACTCTCCAAGAACATAAACTTAATTTTGTTAAAAGGGCTTAAGTCTAGGGCAACAACCCTTTTAACAAATAAAACAAAATTGAAGTCTGTTTTATTGCCATTTGCAGCATATGCACATACGTTCTTGTAACTGATATCTGTGTACCTGTCTTGAAAGAATGTATTTTGGTATGTTCTACTGTTTCAGATTGTGCTAAAGTCAGTTTTTATAACTTAGAAATGTTCTGTACCTTATGACAGTCCTTAAGTATAATGGTTATATAAATCTTTATTAGTCTTTATATTTTGTACTCACCAAAGTTTGGTTGTGGTTGTTTCTTATTACAAGTAATAATTTAAAAAAATATAGACATAATTCTACAACAGTCAATATTCTATATTTTATGTAATAATATCTACAAGTCTCTTGTATCAAGTTCGAATTTGCTTCTGAGACCCTTCTGTGGAGCCATTAATTTAGTAATATTTTTTTGTCTTGTTCATCTTTATATTTAATTTCTATACTATGGGTGAGAGTGCATTGTATCATTATTAAATGATAAAATTGCATATGTTTTGAGGTAACTTGTCAATCTTCCCAAATCCTTGTTGCACACCTCATCTAACTTCCCAAAACTTTGGATTCATTGTGGCTTCTGCACCATCCTCACACCATTCTGCCAACATCAGGCAAACACGTTAGCAGAAGAAACCCCTTGACTTTTGGCAAATAAGACACTACACTTGTGAAAAACCTTTTAAAAAAGGAAGTGTTTTCAATGTACTTCACCAAAATATTTAATATAGGTACTCATAACAAAATTGAACAATTTGAAAGAATATACTCTAGATTAGAGATGTATGAGTAGTATTGAAATAACATGTGAAGTAGCAGGTA